TTGCGGCGTGCGGTGGGAAGGGGACCCCGCGGGGTCCAGCCGAGGTGGCTGGTCCTTCCACCCCAATGCTGCTGCACCGGGGGGAGTGGATCCATCCTTACAACACGGGGAGGGCTGGTGGGGTGCACAGAGCAGCGTCATGGGGCGCTGCCAGCATCCTCCATCCCGGATGGCCACCAGCAGGGTGGGGCCCCCCCAACAAGCCCCTTGATGTCCCAAGCCTCTACCGACACGGGGAGCATCGGTGCCGGCTCTGTTTGCTGCACTCGCTGTTTGTAAACCGTAGCTAGCAAGGGAGCCGTAAGCCGAGCACATTATCTCCTCCAGACAATTAGCAGAAGCATTAATGGAATATATGCAAATGTGCAGTAATTGACCTGCGACTCCACAGTTCATGATGGAGAAGGATGAGCTCCAGATGGCTTAATGATAGTAATTTAAGCCCCTTCTTTATATGCCATGCTTCCTTGTCATAGCCTGGCAAGACCAAGCCCAGGCGGGGAGGAGGGTGGGCGGCAGCAGGGACCGGGGACAGCCCGGGGGCTGTCTCGTTTGCACCCCAGCAGTGTCCCAAACCACCCTGTATTCAGCACCCGTATAAAGCCCCGGGAAGGTGGGCTGAAGTGCAGAGCAGCAGCTTGTGTGGGAAGGGAGGATTCGGGTTCCCACGGAGCAGCCCTTCCCTGCTGGCCGCTGGCCAGGGAGTGTGGGAGAGCAGCCAAGCACCGACGGGTCCATGGGACCGCCAGGCTGGGGGATGCTCACCCACCGTGGTGGGGGCCGGACCACCCACCCTGGCTGTGCCAGGGTGCTGCCTGTGCCTTTCTCCTGCCACGGAGGTGCCTGCAGATGCAAAAGCCTGAATAGCAAGCAGTCTCCTTGCTCAACTACTCTGAGTTTACTCAGCCTTTGATCAGGCCGCATTGGCCCCGAGCGTGGCCAGGGAGGGGACGGTTTGGGGGCTCGTGCCCCACCAGCAGTCCATCCTGTGCAGCCTGCCCAGCCCTGAGCTCCACAAAAGTTCACCGGCAGAGCCAGGGGTATTTGAATAACCACTCTGGGAACCCAAATTAAAATATTTATGTATAATTCATGCCATATGTTCCACCAATATTTTTTATTTAATCAACTGAAGACAGATGGCAGGAACATAGAGGCCATTAAACTAATGGCACTTTGTCTTTCCATTTATTTTCATCTCCTTTCCTAAAATAAAACGAGTCCGTGACAGGCAGCACACCGCGGGCATGGGGCCGTCCCTGCCACCGCCGAGGTGCCAGCAGGGTGCGGTGGCAGTGGGGTTTCCCACTGTGAAGGTGGACTCACCATGCAACCCGGCATGGCTTTGTCCCGGGCAGGGCTGGAGCACATCCTCCATAGCTGGGGGGTTTGGAGGAGAGAAATCCCTCCGAGGACTGTCCCTTCCCCGGGATGGCTGCCCTCCCTGTGCCATGAGCCGCCAGGGATGGCCCCGGGTAGCCTCTGGCCACGGCATTCCCAGGGCAGCACCGTGTTGATCCTGGCTGGCAGGGTGCAAATGGGGATGGTCAGCCCTTTGGTCCTGGCTGGAGAACAGAGGATGACCTGGCCTCAACTTTTACAAAAGCCTCGCTGGGGGCACGACGGGCTGAAACACAGCCATGGGGCTATGTGGGAGAGCCACGCTGGGGGTGACGTGGGGACGTCATGCTCACATGGGGCCTTCCAGGCGGCGGGGTGCCTGGCTGCTGGAGCAGCCACTTGCAGCAGCCTCCTGCCCTGCTGCCCACCTGGCTCCCAGGGCAGGCATTCGCTTTCCGGGGGCTTTGCTCGGGGCTAGCCAGTGCATAGAGATGTTCTAGGGGTCTAGGGGTGAAATGCGTGTGCATGTGTGTGCACAAGTGTGTGGATGTGCGTGCATATGCATGTGTGTGCATGCACACGTGGATGTGTGCGTGCACAGCTCATCCTCCTGTGGGTGAAATCGGGTGAAATCAGAAATCCTCCATGTGCCCCAGAGCCTTCCTGTAGCACCTCTCCTGCACGACCAGCCAGAACTGTGTGGGCTCTGGAGTCGGGGCTCATCCCCGCATGCCTGTCCCTAAGCCCAGGCTGCTGGAAGCCAGCATCGCTCCCACTGCACCGACGTCTCCTGCCTGTCCAGCATCCTTGTGCTGGGGGGGAGGTTGAACTGTCCCTCTGCGGGGCTGAAAGGCGAAGGAGAGCCTGGGCATCCTTCCTCGCCCCGTGGGGGGACGGGGACTGCAATCCTCCCCGCGTCCTGGGACGCTTTCCTAAGTGTGCCTTTCTCTTTGATTTGCAGGTGAAGATTTCTTGCCCTGGGAGTGAGATGAATGGGGCTTTGTTAGACAAAGGGTCCCAGTCAGCATTTCAGGCCCCGAGACGGTCCAGGGACTTTTCATTCTTTGTCTGAAAGGGCGATGGTGCCGTTTCCATTAGAGAGATGCTTGTGAGAGCCGGTGCCGCCGAGCGGAAAGGCGAGCGAGAAGAGCTGCGTCAGCTGATCGGCTTTCAAATCACCTTCAAACCCTCGATTTCCTTAACATGATCCCTCCATCAGCCGAGTCTCTGGGGCACGGCTGGGGGGCTTTGCCGGGAGGAGAATAAACCGGGGACGGCGGTGACAGCCAGCGCTGGAGAATCCCCCCCATGCACGGTGGGGGGGCCCCGAAATCTGTCCCCGCTGCCTTCCCCAGCCTTCCCGGACTTTATAGGGTCAGGCAATAGCTTTGCACGGCTTCACCCTGCAGCCCCCGCTGCAGTGTTGGGGCACCCATTTGCTCCCCTGGTACATCCCGGGAGCCACCTCCAGTCTGGGGGGGGGCAAAACCCCCCTCGGAGCATCCCTGGGGCAGGAGAGCAGCTCCCCCGCGGCACCAGCTGCCGGGGAAGGGATGAAGACGCTATGGCCAAATTATTGGTAAAACTCCAGCGGTATTTTCGGCGAAAACCCGTGCGTTTCTTCACACTGCTGGCTCTCTACCTGGCAGCCGGCAGCTTGGTCTTCCTGCACTCGGGCTTCGCTGGGGAGCCCACGGTGTCAGGGAGCCAGCACGGCCCCGGGGCCGGCGAGGGACCGGGGCTGCCCTACCTGGGGGTGATGCAGCTGAGCCGCGGCTTCAAGGCGGCAGCGACGATGCCGGAGGGGGGACGGCGGCATGGACCCTGGTTCAAAAGCACCTCCAAGGAACCGGCAGAGAGGGGCAAAGCTGGAGACTACGGCAGCACCCAGAGCCGGGTGCTCAGGGGCAGGAGCGGCCGCGAGAAGGAGGAGGACAGAGGTAAGGGCTGGGGACACACGTGTCCGGGTGGGGGTCCCTCCTCTTGGCCTCTCCCAGGGAAAGCCTTGTGCACTGGGGCAGGGGTCTCCGAGCTGGTTTGGTCGTGCGCCCCTACCAGGAACAAATTTCTGGGCACGCACCCCTAGTAAATGTGTATTTATTTATTTATAAACCATATGCATGTGCTACTCGAGCGCTAAGATTTTCTTCCCGCACCCCAATGGACTGCCCTGCACATCCCCTGGGGCGCAGCATCCCGCTTTGGAGACCACTGGTCCTGAGGATGTTCCCAGAAAGATCTTCTCCTCCCTCTTTCCCCTCCTTCCTCCTTCCCCAAGTGCCAATAATCCACTTTCATTTCTCCATTTTCAC